CCACCATCACCCCCCGGCCCAGACCGCTGCTTATCAGCACCACAGCGGCCTGGGGGTGTCCTACGCGCACCCCGGCTGCGGCCCGACTTACGGCGCGCAGGGCTTCGGACCGGCGTACGGCCCCTACCCCCTCGGGCAGGACGCGGAGCTGGGAGGCAGTTTCCCACCCTGCACCCCCGCCGTGTACTCGGGGAGCATCTCCTCGTCCGCAGCCGCGCAGCACCCTCACCAGGGCTACGCGGGGGGGCCCACTCAGTACGTGCCTCCCCCCTACGGGCAGGAGCAGCAGAGTCTGCCCCTGGGCACCTACAACCATGCCCTGTCTCCCCTCCACGCCGGCCATCGAGAAAATGCCCGCTCCCCCTCCGCCGAGACCTCACCACCGGCGCAAACCTTCGACTGGATGAAAGTGAAAAGAAACCCACCCAAAACAGGTCAGTGGCCGGCGCTAGGGCCGGGGCGGTGGGCTGCTCCTCTCTCTCTCTCTCTCTCTTTGCCGTGGGTGTGGGGAAAGTGGCGCGGTGGCCCGCGGGGCGCCGGGCAGGTAGGGTGGCCAGCACCTCTGGGAGCAGCTGCAGCCATCTGCCCGCGGCGCTGGAAGCCAGCCCCGCTTATTCCTGACTCCCCCTCTCCGCCTCTCCCGCGGTCATATTTCTTGTAATTCATAAACCACTTATCAAGTTTCCTCTGACACTAGAGGCTGACTCCGGTCTAGCACCTCGCACTCCATCACTCACCCTGCCGGGGCTTCCCTCTTATCCTAAGAAGTTCTTGCTCCCTATCGCTTAGCCGGTGTGGACATATTGATTACGTCTCCTATAAATCACTTGCGCTTACTTACTGCTGCATGTCCCCTCGCAGGCAAGGCTGGTGAGTACGGCTTCGTGGGGCAGCCCAACACCGTCAGAACTAACTTCACCACCAAGCAGCTCACCGAGCTGGAGAAGGAATTTCATTTCAACAAGTACCTGACCAGGGCCAGGCGAGTGGAAATCGCCGCCTCCCTCCAGCTCAACGAGACGCAGGTGAAGATCTGGTTCCAGAACCGTCGGATGAAGCAAAAGAAACGGGAGAAAGAGGGGCTGCTGCCCATCTCCCCCGCCACCCCCACGGGCTGCGAGGAGAAGACGGAGGACTCCTCGGAGAAGTCCTGCTCGTCCCCCTGCAGCGCCTCGCCCGCCTCCTCTGCCTCGGACACGCTGACTGCCACCAACTGAGGCCCCCCCAGCCCCGAC